TGGCGTGAGTAGCGGTATCTTAGTGGTAAAATTCTCACCTTCCATGTAGGCGACCTGGTGTTCAATTCCCTCCCAGTGTCATGCTCAGCCCATCCCTGGAGACCTGTGTATTGTGATATTAACCTGATTTCAGTGAAGCTTCCGGACTGAGTCTGATTAGAAGAAAGGCCTACAGAACAACTACTGAGAAGCAGCCGGTCAAAGCCCTACTGGGAAGCATTTCATCCCAGTGCGCACAGTGTCTCCAGAGTTGGAAGGGGCCTGGCCACTGAAAACAACAGCTGTGTATCATCCTATTTAAAGGATGAGGAAACTGAGGCACGGAGATGTTAACTCCGAACATGACAACCACACATTGGTGAAAATCTACTGTGGGCACTATCAGTAGTTCTGTATCCCGGGAAGGGGGGAACTGGAATTCAAATTAAGTAGCTCTTGTCATCTTCTCTGGTGCCAACAGTCCATGAACGAGGCTGCTAACCAAGAGGTTGGGGGTTTGATTCCACCAAGAGGCATGCTGCCTGGAGTTCTTCTTAGAGCCAGTCAGACATTAAGAACCCTGTGATAGTTAGGGATGAGGTCAACAAGACAGTCCTGGGAAAGGGGAGAGGCCGAGGCTAACCTATCGATTGGGTTGAAGCCCAATGACACCTCCTTGTGTGCGGCCTGTTGTTCAAGAGTTGATTTCTCTTTGACCCTTCACCTTCTGCTGGCTCTGAATCACACATCTGGTTCCTCCTGCTCCTCTTGTGCTGTCTGCCCATCCCAGGAGCTGCCAGCTACTACACATGGTGGATTCATTCGGCTGGCTTCAGATTTATATTACCTCTGCATCCGCCAGCCTGTGCCCCTGTCCTCTCTGGCCTCAGCTTCCAGGAGCCCAGAGAACCTGACCTGAACTGGACTGAACTTACCTATTTCTACCACTGTGCCCACCATTTCTGGATCTTCCTCTCTTTCTCTCTATCACATCTGGAGCCTGGGGGTGCAGTTGGGAGGACAGGGGCTGTGTGATGGTTGTGGCCCACCACGGTCAACTGTCGGAAACCAGCAGCTCTTTGGGGGGAAAGACTGGGCTGTCTACTCCCCAAACAGAGACCGTCTCGGCAACTCACAGGGTTGCCCATGCGTTGGCACTGACTCGATGGCAGTGAGTTTATAGACAACACACAGAGTCTCTGCTGGCGCTGCTCTAGAGAATCCAACCTCACATACACCCGACGGTGGGCAGTTCCACCCTGACTCACATGGGGGCAGCAGCAGTTAGAGTGGACCTGACAGCAAGATGTCCCCCTATTTTCTTCAGCATTGCAAGGCACCAAGGAGTCCTAGTGGCACCAAGGTGAAGTGCTTGACTGTCCATTGAAGGATCAGAAGTTCAAGCCCACCCACCTACCTCTCTGAAAGACTTGGTGATGTGTTTCCAGGGCAGAAAAGTCCAGCCAAGAAAAGCCTAGGGTGTGTGAAAGTAAACAAGCGGCCATCTAGCTGAGAAGCAACAAAGTGCACATGGAAGCAGCCTGTATGATCATGAGGTGTGCATGGGATCAGGTATCAGGCATCAAAGACCCAGAACAGAAGAATCATATTGATGTGAATGAGGAGGAGGGCGGAGTGGAGACCCAAAGCCCATCTGTAGAAAATTGGACATCCCTTTACACAAGGAAGAAACGAGCCAGTCAGGGTGTAGTATAGCACTGATGAAACATACAACTTTCCTTTAGTTTCTAAATGCTTCCTCCCCTGACTATCATGATCCCACTTCTACCTTACAAATCTGGCTAGATCAGAGGATGTACACTGGTACAGATAAGAGCTGGAAACACAGGGAATCCGGACAGATGAACCCCCAGGACCAATAATGAGAGTAGCGATACCAGGAGGGTAAGCGGAATGTGGGGGGTGAAAAGGGGAACAGATTACAATGATTGACATATAACCTCCTCCCTGGGGGACAGAGAACAGAAAAGTGGGTGAAGGGAGACATCAGACAGTGTAAGACATGAAAAAATTTTTTATAAATTATCAAGGGTTCCTGAGGGAGGGAAAAATTGAGAAGCTGAGACCAAGGGCTGAAGTGGAAAGCAAATGTTTTGAGAATGATGATGGCAGCACATGTATACATGTGCTTGACACAATGGATGTATGTATGGATTGTGGCAAGAGTTGTACGAGCCCCCCGTAAAATAACTAAAGAAAAATGCCTAAGGTGCGGTTGTTTCCATCATAGGAGGTCACTCGCCATTGGAATCCCCTCTCTGGCCCACAGTCGCCATAGCCAACAGGCGGCCAGGTCCCTGTTCCAAGAGCCAGAGTTCCTTCTCCTCCGTTGGCACCTCAGCTCCGCTCAGAAGGATGCAGAAAGAGAGTGGAGAGGAAAGCCAGGCAACATTTTACATCCCAAGTGGGGGGGAAACCACCTGCTGCTATGCTAACACATCTGTGAGAGGCTCCCACTGGCCCACCCTCCAGAACAGCTTTCTAATCTAGCCAGAAATCTCCCACTCCTCCACGATTGACTCACATGCATGTAGAAAGCAGAGTTCACTAATCGAATTCCTTCTCCATCCAGACATCTGTCTCCAGAGAGCACAAGAGGCAAGAGGCAGACCCACCCACCCAGCCAATTCCTGACGGTAGCTCCGAGTGCAGGCTGTTATGTTCAGGGACGAGTGTTCATCCAGGAGCAGTGCGGACATGGGGTGGCGAGGACACAAACGGTGACTAAATGACTGGGTAGGGAGAGCTGGAAACATGAGGGTGATTATGCAGGCACTGTCCTCTATGAATATATTAGCTCCCCAATAAGCCCATGCCTTTTGACTGCTTCAAAGCCATTTCTCAGAGTTTCCATGAAGACAGGCGTCTGGAAGTGTTTTCTAAGCCCAGCTTCCGTCAGGCCGCTCCTGCTGCCAATGCTGCAGACCTCAGGGTTTCGCCTGGGAAGTGCGGCAGGTCCTGTACTTTACTGGCCTGTAGGCCTTGTGAGATGTTGGGTGCCTGTGCCCAGGTGTCCCTTCAGGACGGAGCCAGGGGACTAATCTCTACTGAGATTAGGGTTCAGGGGGTGGTATATTTCAGCCGGAGTCCTCAGGTGGACATTGACTATCAGGAACTAGCGAGGGCCAGCTCTAGACACTAAGGCAGGGGAGGCCAGCGTGGGATCATGAGATAGTTTATTGTGCCAGCCTGGCTGATAAACGCAGGTGGGATTGACTGAGGGGTGGAGAGATGGATGGCTTGGTGAGCCTTGCCTTTCTTGTCTCTCGCTCTGTGATCATCGGACCAGTGTGCGGCTCCCTTGCTTGTTTTGTGCCTCAATTTAAAGGCTACACTGCCTGTGGGATGCCTAGCCTGTGGACTGTGTGGCTGTAAGTTGAGGTCCCTTTAAGACTTCTCTGGAGCTGGGGACTGGCGGTTGGTGACCTGCCTTGTGATTGGCTGCTGTGCTGACATAGCCTAGCTCTCTCTACAAATAGAGGAAGATCTGGCATCAGACAGAGACTTGAAGGACTGCTAGTCTCTCAACTTTCTCTCACGGACGTGAGTTGCACTAAGCCATTTGTAGTGCTTTCTAATTTAACTGTTTATTTCTTGTATTGTATATTTATCTGTATATGATTTAACAGTTCATTTCTCGTTATATATCTAATTATCTTTATAAATAAATATATTAAATTATCAGGAGTTTGATTTTATCTCTCTAGAGAACCCTGTCTAACACAGATCGTCTCTAATGGGAACCAGCTAAAGGATGCGCGAGGTCTGTTTGGCGGTGTGAAGAGAAAGGCGTTGAGCAGGAACATCTTGCATGATTGCCACGCACACCAGTGGGTTTAAGGTTCTCTTAAAGGATTGGCGAGCCAGTAGGGCATGGCTGCTGGCTGATTAATGATATCCAGGAGAGAAGAGTCGGCACCATCATGGGAACAAACCATAGTGTGAATGCAGGGTTTCCACAAGGACAAAGCCATGTTCCTGCTATGGTCATTCCCCGTATCCCTCATCACATCCCTGATGATCATCAGGGCCCTAACACATCCTTCAGAAACATGGAAGAGCTTCAATTTGGGTGCATCCTTCATAGGTTCAAGGAAAGGGGCTGGGGGGTAGGGGGGGACAGATGTCCTAGATTCTACCTCTCATAAGGTAAGAGACAAAATGATGCCTACAATGGGGAGTCACACAGTGAGCTGAGACAAGCTAGAAAAACCTCTACTTGGAGCCCGATGGTGGCTGTCTCAGAAGACAGGTGTGAGACCGGAATGGGCTTTGCTGGGGCCGGGCAGCAAGTGGTGAGTCAGGAAGCAGTGTTTTGTTCTTTGGACCCCATGGGCTATCTCCTTGTTGTTCTCCCCTGACTATGGAAGGAGAGAACCTGCCATGGACAGAGAAAGTTCTATGGGCCACTGAGGAGCAGACAGAAAATCAAGTGCAAACTCCCAACTGGAAATGATTCTGATTATTATGATACAGGGGCCATACACATAACAATGATAAACACATACCCTCCTAACATTGGGGCACCTCAGTACATACACAAACACCCAAAGAATCGAAGGGGAAAGTTGGCAACCCTACATTATAGTTGGAAGCTTCCTTACAACTTAACCTAAGCTAATCTTTGCAAGTGGACTCAGACTAGTCAACTTGGTATATTCAACGACACACGATCCAGTAGCCCCTCACACACACCCCACCCCGCCTCCTGCCATCAGTCTCTTGTTGGAACACATTCTCTTCACCCTTGAAGGATCTATGGTTGGTTGTAACAGAGTGGCTGCTTCCCAACTCTCCCCAGATTTCATCTCAACCCATTAGGTTCTGAAGTCCTCTTCTTCCTGAAAACTGTCCAGGTCACACACGCACATGAACCGAGATCAGAAACGGAACATTCAGCATCAGCCTGTGATCCTGAACCTTGAGCCCCCTCTCGTCATCCCCTGTGTTCACCCACGTGGGAGCTGAGCCAAGGCCTTTCCACAAGAAGCTCTGCTCACCCTGATCCCGAGCTCGACGTTCTCGCCACCATAGACCTCCATGCCTTCGTCCAACAAGCCAATCTCCTGGAAATACTGCCGGTCCACAATGAAGCAGCCAATGAGGGCAGGGCTCCTGTAGGGGTGGTCAGAGATGCAGTTAGCCAGCTTGTGGGATGTCCCGACTGCTGGAGAAGAGAGAGCAGTAGGGTTTTCCCAGCCTCTCGGGGGAATCTGGTCCTCTCCTCTGCTTCCAGCATTGGTGTGGGCCTTATACACAGAGTAACCCTCGTGGGCGCACCCTCATCCAGTCATGCCAGGGAGGCTGTTCCATACTGCAGGATGACCAGCCACCATTCCCTGGGGGCTCTTAGTGTGTGTTAGCCCAGAGAGGCAGTGCTCAGGTTTCCAGTCTAGATTGTCTACCTCTAACTATTCTGACTTCTTAACCCTGCACCGATAGCCAGTCTTTGATTCTGCCTAGGCATTGCTGTCTATCCTCCCACCTTTGCCCAACTTGGGATATGCATGCTATTCTGAGCCCACTTGCCAAGATAAGCTTAGGCTAAGTTGTAATGAGGTTTCCAACTATGATGTAGGGTAATGAATTTCTACCTTCAAGTCTTCCAGTGTTTGCATATGCAGGTAGGTATCCAAATGTTAGGTGTGTATGTGTTTATAATTATTATGTACTTTTGATGAGTTAACCCTTTATCATTATATGATGACTTCTTTGTCTCAGGACAGGTTTTGGCTTAAAGTCTTTTGGGTCTGGTATTAAAATGGCCACTCTTGCTCACTTTTGGGTGTTATGTTTATGGGTTCCCCCCACCCCCACAGCACATGGTTGGAGCTTGTCTTTTTGACTAGGTTGTAAAGGGTTTTGGAGAATAGAGTAACAAATTTGGATTTTTGTCTGTCGGGCATAGGTTGCCAATGAAGAACTGCAAGTAGATGGTGTAAACAAGTCTGTTTTTGTTTTGTTTTTTTAAAAGCATACTCGGGCCACATTAGGCTATTGCCTGGAAGAGATTGGGTGGGAATGGGGGAACCCAGCTGTTGTGGGGGTGGGGGGGGCTTGTTACTATACCCAGAAGAGAAATGACGAGAACCTGGACCAGAGTATCAGCCATGGAGATGTTTTTAAGACATGATTTGATGTCAAATTAGAAAAACTCTTGATGGACGGTGAGGATCAGAGATAGGGTGGGATTGGGATGCTGACTAGATTTCCAGCTTGGACGATGTGAGTGGCGTTGGAGGCCACTCATAACATGAGACTCCAGAAGAGGCTGGTTTCAGAGGACAGAAGAAACATTCCGTGCTGAGCAATCGGGTTTCCTGGTGTCAGTGGGACACCAGGGAGCGATCTAACAGGTAGAACTTAGGTAGATGGTCCAGGATTCAGGCTAAGGTCTTAAGCGGGAGGAGTCTCTGGGTGGTGCAAATGACTAATGCTCTCTTTTAGTATGCTAACCAAAGATGTGGAGGCTTGAGTTTATGCAGAGGCACCTCAGAAGAAAGGCCTGGTGATCTACTTCTGAAAAACTAACCATCAAAACCCTTAAGGAGCAGTACAGTCCTACACTGACCCAGGCGCACCTTCGAGGCGTGGAAGTGTTCTCAACAGCAACTGTTTGGTTAATGGTTTAGGAAATTGGTAGGTGAAGGAAGGGGCATTGTATGCAAATGATATGCTATGAGTTTATGGATGCAGGGGAATTACAATGGGACCAGAACATGAAATGGGTGTGCTGCAGCTCGGGGAGATAAGACTGCAGGGGAGGAGAGGCAGCTTCAGACCCACAGGGCCTTGACAGCAAACTACATATATCTCAAAGATCCTAAACTCTCTGCCTTTGCTGCTGTCTTCAAAGACCTGAATGAGTCCCCTGGATAGGTCTGTTTTTAAGGGTGAGGACTCCTGAAACAGCCCTCCCCACGGGACCTGATTTCTGGCAGCATCAATGCAGGTCAGATGTCTTTATTCTGTCTGCATGATCCTGCCTGTTCCTTAAACACACAGATGACCCCAGAAAGTGGCCAAGGGACAGCTGCTGAGAGATTAGATACTTCCATTGCTTTATATTACATAAGGGAGAAAGATTACAAGGAATTTCCTCAAAAGTGGGCAATTACTAAGATATTTTTCCTTGCCAGAAGAAAAGTAAGATAGATTCATATTTGTAATAGGATGGAATAGAACCGGACTTGGCTGTTTCCTGTGGTGACCTCTGCTATCTACTGAGGTAGGTCCCTGGCACAATTTTGTGCTCTTATTTATTTGTTGTGAGCCCACTGTGTGTAAGGGCCTTTGCACACACCATCTCATTTGGTTCTCCCATAAAGCCTGGTGGCAGCTCATTGTAAGGACATCCTTGTGTTGCAAGATGAGGCAAGGACGATTGAGAGAGAAGGACTGTCTTGCCAAAGGCTCTGGGCAGCAGAGTCAGGTTCTGCCACCAGATCAGTTAGGCTGCACATGGAGTCACCATCTCAATAGTTGGCCACTGTTGAGCTTGGAAGTGGTGTGGTCAGTTGCTTCCAACAGAGCTGAGGAGTGCTCACTCACTGCCAACTCACAGCGACCCTAGAGCGCAGGGTAGACCTGCTCCTGTGAGTTTCTGAGACTGTCACTCTTGACGGGAGTAGAAAGACCAGTCTTTCTTCCACGGCGCTGCTGACCACTCTCAGAGAGAAATCTTCAGCCACCCAATGAATGCTGTTGCAGAAGAATGCATTGACATTCACGGTTTCTGTTTTGCTTATCTCTGAATCTTAATCAGCAACTGGCAAACCTACCATGTAGGTTGTTGCCAGAGAATATCATCTCAGCCTCCAATTTCTCATCACCCATTTTTTTTAATCTTAAAGTTTGCCACTGAAAGGGCATTTATAGAGGTATAAATATAGGCATGTACATATGTAAATATATTTATATATGATGATGGGGAAATAGATCTATGTGCATTTATTTATAGGTTTAGTGTTAAGGTAGCAGGTGGACATTGGGCCTCCACTCAAGCACTCCCTCAATGCAAGAACACTTTGTTCTAATAAACTGGCATTCCATGTTGCTCACCTTCCTGACATGATGATCGCTGAAGACAAAGCAGGTACATAAGCAAATAGTGGATGGTGCCTGGCTATCAAAAGATATAGTGTCTGGGGTCTTAAAGGCTTGAAGATAGACAAGCAGCCATCTAGCTCAGAAGCAAGAAAGCCCACATGGAAGAAGCACACCAGTCTGTGTGATCATGAGGTGTCGAAGGGATTAGGTATCAAGCATCAAAGAACAAAAAAATTATATCATTGTGAATGGGGGTAAGTACTAAGTGGAGACCCAAAGTTCATCTGTAGGCAACTGGACATCCTCTTACAGAAGGGTCACAAGGAAGAGATGAGCCAGTCAGGGTGCAGTATAGCACCGATGAAACATACAACTTTCCTCTAGTTCTTTAATGCTTCTTCCCCCCACTATCATGATCCCAATTCTACCTTACAAATCCAGCGAGACCAGAGGATGTGCACTGGTACAGATAAGAGCTGGAAACACAGGGAATCCAGGACAGATAAACCCCTCAGGACCAATAATGAGAGCAATGATACCAGGAGGGTAAGGGGAAGGTGAGGGAGAAAGGGGGAACCGATCATAATGATCTACAGACAACCCCCTCCCTGGGGGACAGACAACAGAAAAGTGGGTGAAGGGAGACGTTGGACAGTGTAAGACATGAAAAAATATAATAATTTATAAATTATCAAGGATTCATGAAGGAGGGTGAGGGAGGGAGGGAGGGAGGGGGAAAATGAGGAGCTGGTACCAAGGGCTCAGTAGAAAGCAAATGTTTGGAGAATGATGAGGGCAACAAATGTACAAATGTGCTTGACACAAGGGATGGATGTATGGATTGTGATAAGAGTTGTATGAGCTCCCAATAAAATGATTAAAAAAATTAAAAAGAAAAGAATTGTCTAGAAAATAATGATGGCAACATATATACAAGTGTTCTTGATACAACTGATGTATGGATTGGTACAAGAACTGCAAGAGCCCTCAATAAAATGTTTGAAGATTAATAAATAAATAAAGATAAACAGTTTGCCTCCGAGAATGATATGCACGGACGGTTGTTGGTAGGACATCCTTGGTCTTCTCTCTCGACGAAGGCAGTCTCCAGAAGTCGTGGATTATGTCACCATGAATTAGCTGCTCCTGTTCCCAGGAGGCTTCATTAACGCTCTATCCACAGAGAGCTCAAGCTCTCAAGACAGCCCGAGACTCTGTGGACTGAAGTCTAAAGCAGGGGCTTTGAGATGGCTGTTCACGGCATCTTGCCGTGTGGGGTGACTACACACACTTAGGACGCCCTGCATGAGAAATTTCTTCCCAACTGAAGTGCCAGCCAGAGAAAGACCCACTCTCTCTGAGGAGTCAGCAGGCCCTTTCTGCATGGGCAGTGCAAATCTTACTGTAATCCCACGCATGCTTCATTTTCACCTTGACTGCCAGGCAGCTCAGAGCCAAGTCTGGAGGCCCTCTCTGCGAACCGCCAGGGACTCACGGTTCACCCAGTTTGCTGTGATCCTTTCATCTTTTCAGGTGTTTATTTTTTTTGTTTGTCTTTTACAAGGTGCTTTACGTTTTCTTGTGAACTATTTCTAATCTCTTCAGGAACACGCCTGGGCGCAGATCAATAGCACTTGCAGTCTGATCGTGGCCACGGAGTGGCCTGATGAGTTAATAAACAATAGGTTAGCGCGAGGCAGGCTCTATTGATCCCAGGGCACCTGCTTCGGATTTTGTTCACGCAGGCCCGGATGTGGCAGTTAGGGGAAGGTCCCTTCCTGCATGTCCCGGGAGGCACCTTCATGAGGGCCTTGTCCACCGCAGCACTTCAGGGAGGCAGACAAGAGAGGCTGAGAGCCCACTCTGCAGGGCCGAGGCTGCACTTCCAGAGGGGATTCCATGGGCATCCCATCTTGTTAAATGCACTTGAAGGTCTTTTGAGGGACAGATAAGTCCTCCTGACTTTCCTATCCCTTACATGATTTCATTGCATCCTTGTGCAGCTGACCTTGATTCGGTTTCAAAGGTATGAAATCAGAGGCTCAGAGAGGCTAGGGAAGTGCTCATGGAGACCCAGCAGACAGAGGTAGACCAGGGCCTCCTTGTCTTCAAGGAAGCCAGGCACTCCACCTGCTTCTGGAGGGTGAGCCCTTCAGAAGAAGCTACTGGGATTTGAAAGGAGAAGGGCCAGGGACCCCAGGACATCAGCCTTCCTGCAGGACTGGCCTGCGAAACAGCTGCCTCTTCACCTTGATGCTTTTCCAGTTTCAAAGAAGGGCACATTTGCATATGGTTGACTGACAGTTTCCCATCACTAGGATTCCTCCAGTCTTCTTTTCTCTCTTTCCTCCCGCCCTCAAGCCTCCAGCTGTAACAAATGCAGGGCGAGGGCTAGAAACGCTCCCAGCGTTCAGTAGCACAATTCAAAGTAATTTGTGTCAGTTAATGCTCTCAGCACAGAAGCAGCCTACATGTGCCCGTGCTGATTCAACTAATGGGAATCACTCCTGGGCAAGGTCCTGCGCTAGCTGTTTGCACATAGCTAGGGAACCCCCAAGGAGCCCTGGTGATGCGGTGGTTAAAGTGCACGGCGGCTACCTACAAGGTGGGTGGTTCAAACCCACCAGCCACTCTGCAAGAGAAAGATGTGGTGGTTGGCTTCCATCAAGACATACAGTCTTGGAAACTACGAGCAGCTCTATTCTGTCCTCTGGGGTCTTGGAGTCAGAGTCCACTCCCCGGCAGTGGGTGGGAAGGAGCCCCTGGACTCACATCTCCACGAAGGACAGAAAGCCCTGGAAACAGTAGAGGCTAAAGTGCAGCTCCGGAACCTATTTGCTGTTAACCATGTGCCCTACCCTGGGAATCCAAGTTCCTCGTGACCCTTGCAAAGCCCCGCATAACGTCTCACTCTCTGAGAAGGCTTCTCCGGTCATTGTTATTTTGCTTGTCCCTAGTTGTGGGTATCAGAGAACGGGAAGAGAGCGTATGCGGATGAATCCTTTATTCTCATATCTGAAGAAGCCTGGCAGGCTAGGTTTCTGTGGTAGAGGGAGGCCTTCAACCTTGAGAGCTAGAGACGAGTCCCAATCACATTCTCATAATTTATATCGTTTCCACTATATCCTCCCATAAGAGTGCTGCCTTAAAGTGACCGCTTATAAGCACATGAACTGATTGCTATCTGGCCCATAGCTTTAACTGTAGGAGCAGACATGTGCTAGGCTCTGAAGACAGCCCCCAGCACCGGTGTTAGGTTACTTCTCCAATGAACTCAGGGACCTTTAGGGTTAGGGTATAGCCTATTTTGTTACATATGTGGTTACCTGTAAGTAGGGGAGCTTGCATGCTATATATAAGCTGTTATTGGAAATATAATCTCTCTCTATTCGAACCTGACTCCTGAAGTTGTGGCAGCAGAGGTGAGCCCTTGCATGTTTTATCTTGTCTAATGTCTCTTTAATTCAGTTCTCAATTACACAATCACCCCCATTCCATTGTGGGGGCTGGCACTCCACACCTAGTAGACTCTAGACTTTTAGGGTCAGGAACCGAATCTTTAAAATTTTATTTTTGGTGGATATATATATATAGTAAAATATACATCAATTCAACAACTTCTACATGAATAATCCAGTGGAATCCATTACATTCCTCAAACTATACCATCTTTCTCAATATTCTTTTCTAAAAATGGTTTCTCCATTATCAACATAAACTCATTGCCTGCCACCACCACCCCCACCCCGCCCCAGGCTTCTCACCTAACATTTTGAATGACTGTTGTCAGTTTGGGCTCATATGTATAATTTTTAAAAAGCATTTTAAATTAGAATTAAGTTATTTCTCAATTAAGTTAAACCATTATTTGGTTAAAAATGAGTTTGTGGATGGGGCTGAGGTGCGGTGGTTTTGGTTTGAGGTTTATATATTTCCTTAGGGAAATAGTTCTGGAAATCAACCAGCTTCAATGGTTCTAGAAACTCTGATTTCTATGGGGATTTTTAAGTTCTTTTCCACATTTCCCTCCTTTTGATCAGGATTCTCCTAAGACTCTTTGATCAGTTCTGGTCCCATGGCAAAGAAGGCAGGATGTTCATGGAGATACTGGACATGTATTCCAGTTCCTCTCCCAAATTTGGAGGCAGGAACCAAATCTTAATGTCTCTGGATGGCCAGCACAGAGCACAGCAGTTGACACCCAGTAACTCGCCTACAGTGATGTGTAGAAGTGACCACTTTGAGGCTGTGAATGAAACTTGGATGCATTTGTAATTTTAAAAGGGATCACCAGGCCCCGTGAGCAGTAACTAAAGGTCATATTGTAATGCCTTTCTACCTGCTCCCTCTTCCTAGTCTTCCTGAAAAGGATAAACCAGTGGACAAAGACAGTTTGAAGAATCAAAGGTGGGTTGGGAGGGATGCCCTTGCCTAGGGGACAAGGCAGAGAGAGCCAAGGGTAAGGATGCTTTACCTGATGGGGGCAGTGGAGTTCTCTAGCTTCCACCAGGCCTTTGGGGGGTTTAGGTAGCGGCACCACAACTCCCAGTCAAAGCCCTGGGCAGCGAGTGGATATTCTTCTATCTCAAAGTTGTCGAATTTGATGTTATCGAAGGATGGTGAGATGATCCGCTTCCGGTTCTCCTTGATTCGAGTCAGGACAGGTTCAGCCCTGGGGGGCAGGAGAAGAGGGAAGGGGTAACTGCTGCTAAGGTGAACAACAAGACCACCAACCCTGAAGGCCTCTCCCAGCGAAGGAGGAGCACACTCTGGCCAGCTCCAATGGAGAGGGGGACTTCCCCTGTACAGAATCCCTATCCATCCGCCCATCCTCTGACCGCTCTGCCTTGCCACCAGCCTGACCAGCTGTTATGGATTGAATGATGTCCTACAGGATGATATGCTTCCTGTGCCTGTAAGTTAACCCCTCTGACTGAATTAGAGACTTTGAGGGAAGATATCAGTTAAGTCATATCAGACTAGGGCAGGTCTGAGTTCTAATGCCTTCTGCATGATGTCTTATAAAGGGGGAGAGTCACACACACGGAGAAGGTGCCATGGGAAGATGTGCCTACAAGCCAAGAGACACCTGGCATTCTCACAGCTGTAGAAGACAAGGAAGGACCTGCTCGACCAGTGGACAGAGAGAAAGCGTGACCCTGCCAACACGGACACCGTGTTTCATGCAGTTGTGCACAGGGTCGTGCTGATACCACAGTGGCGTCCAGACTGTGAAAAACAAACATCCCGTCTGTTCATGGGGACCCCCTGCTCTGTGAGATTGGGAGGCAACAGCCCTAGGGAGCTCTGAGGCCACCCTTTTAACACGCCTAGCACTGAGCATGGCCACTCTCCTGCCGGCCAGACGAGAGACGCCTCCCCGTGCCCCCTGGTGCTCCTTCTCTGCAGTGGGATAAAACACAAAACAGAACAGCACACCGAGGCTTTTTACAAAGGAGGAAAAGAAAGAATGTTCCTGGGAAGCATTTCAACTTGGGCTTCGATTTTGCTGACATGTCATGCAGCATGCTGGAGGAGAGGGGGTGAAATTGGCAGAGTTCCTAGGGGAGAATTAAGCCTACATCCCCGAGTTCAATCCTGTGGTGCTGCCTCAGTCCTTCCAGACTCAGGCCGGCTGTGCTGCCCCTCGTGCCACACCTGTGCCAGGCGGTGGGGGGGCTGACACTGCAGGGCTCTCTTGAAGAGCCATGAGGCCCCATGGGCATCAGGCGAGTAATGCATTTGCAGACAGGAATGATAAGCTTCTCATTAATATTAGCATTTTTTGCATAATTGCTTATTCTAATCAGCTTGAAATACTCAGTGTCTTTCTCCGATCTTGGCCATAAATCCAGTGAAAATGCTTTTTAAATCGTCACAAATGGCAAACAGGGACTTCAACTATAAAAAACGGCTGCATTTGCAACCTTAATTCAGGCCCATTATGCGAAAGCATGCCAGTACCTTCCTGTGCTGGGTCTCCCCTCTGCCGTGTGGCTCGACAGCTACCATGCCCTCCTCAGCCCACCCCTGGGAGCCTGGGTGCGGGGAACAGGCCAATCTCATTAGGCAGATCAGTTAAGAAGGTAGAGTCCTACCTGCCCCAGCTGCTGCCACAGTTTTTTCCTCGGACGCCTCATCTCCCCAAAGCCCCACACAGTGGGCTGCACCACGCCCTCCTGACCCTGAGGGGTGCCAGCAAGGGTGGCCTGTTCTGCCAGGCTGCTGCCACCAAGGCCTTATAGCTGCTTTCTTGCCCCATTCAGCACCTCAGTATCCCAGACTGGGAGACACAGCATTCTCAGACATAGTTCCCCAGTGGGGAGCAGCTGAGATTCTATGCTGCTACTGGCCCAGCCTTGGTATGTTTTGGAGAGGCAGGGCTTCCTGGAACACCTCTGCCCACCTCCCCTCTTGGCCCTGTCTGTGTGGTTGGCCCCTGCAATTTCCAGTTCCTCCTTTCCAGGCATTAGGCTCCTCCCTGTCCCTGGGTGACCTGCCTCTCCCGCTTTGCCTGTGACGTGGACGTCATTCCTCACTTGTATTTCCTAGAGCATCTCGCCTCATGTCACGAGATCTCTGAGACTCTCTTTTCTGTCCTGCTGGTCCAGCTGCCCCCACTGCAGGCCCAGTCTTCTTGCCACGACACTCACGTCCCCAAAGCTCACTTATGCCCAGAGGTTGCTCCTTTCCTTCTGGCCCAGCACTGAGATCCCAGCATGCTCTGCACCCATTGGAACCAGAGCCCCTGGATGGCAGTAAGGCTCATCCTCCTCTCCGAACGAAACGAGGTCAGCCTGGGAACTTACCAGCCCACGTTGAACTCCACGTGGGCATCGAAGAGCGCCACCACGGGGGCAGTGGCCACCCTCCAGCCGCTGACCCTGGATCGGATGAGGCCTTCCTGCTTGCTGTGGCGCACGACCTTGAGGAAGCCTGGCTTCTGGCCATTCATCTTGTTGACATATTCTGTCAGCTTCTCCTTCAGCTCCTCTGTTGGGGGGGAAATGCAGCATTTGCTTAGTGGAGGGCGGAAGGAACCGTCAAAGCCAAGGCAGACTGGAGGGCCATGGCCTTCCCTGAGTCTGCTGGGCATCCCCCCACAAAAAGTGCAGTGGGGCAGAGTGGGGCGAAGAAACATATGCTCAGCACTGAAGGGAACATGAGGGGAAATGCTTTGTTCAGCCCCAACAACTTATACTGGTGCTGCAATGGTTAAACACCTGGCTGCTGACCCAAAGGTTGGCGTCTGGAAACTTCCGAGTGGCTCAGAGCAGGAGACGACAGCCCAGGTAACCTTCATTCTCCTGTCACATGAGGTTATTCTGTGTTGGAGTCAGAGTGGATTATGGCACCAACACCACCACCCTGAACAAGGTCATGTCTCAAATACACGCACCACACACACAGCCTCATGGACTTGTTATAATAAACCATGTTCCTCTCATCCACTCAGCTACCTCCTTCCTTCCTTGTGTCATCCTCCAAACCCAACCTGCCACCGTCGAATCCATGCTGACTCATGGAGAGCCTATGCAGAGTTATGGAGCCTGGAAACCTTCATAGGACCAGACCGCTTGACCATTTGAGCCACCAATCTTTCAGTGACCATCCCACATCCTCTAGGCCGCCCATCAGCCCCAGAGAAACCATGGCCCATGAAGGCCCAGCCCTGGAGCTCCATGTTTCTGGGACATGGATGGCTGAGAGCTGGGCCCATGTGAGCAGTTGGCATACATGTGTGCTACTGGTGGGCTGTGGGCGCTGGGCCAGGCCACACTGTCGGCTCCCCTGGTTCCGCGGGGGTCTGGGAGTGGAACCTACAGCCCAGGAACAAAAGCTCTGCTGCAGCCCCTGGCTCCTCAGCCACTGGAAGTGTGACAACCACGCTCGATATGGCTCTGATAGCTCTTTCCCAGGAACCGAGGGCTGTGTGGGGCATGTTCTCCCCGCTCCACCACCGCACCTCTCTGGGACTCAGTTGCTAGTCAGTGTCATGTGTCAAAGGTTTGAAGTTGGCCGTCTCCAGGAGGCCACAGCAGATCCAGTCAGTGAGGCCACTGTCCACGTTGATATCCCTGATATAAAGCCCTGGTGGCACTATGGGTGGTTAGGCATCGGGTTGACATCCTCAAGGTCAGCTGTCCCAGCTCCGTCCTCGCTCTGCAGGAGAAAGACGGTGCTAGCTGGGAGAGCTTCCAGGAAGACCTGAAGTCTCGGGAACCCTATGCAGGGAGGCTCTGAGTTGCAGTCGACTCGATGGCAGTGGGTTTGGGTCTGGTCCCTGTGACCTTGCTGCTCACAGACTTCTAACCTTGGGCCCTTTGTCAGCCTTGGACACATGCTCAGAATGCTGGGATAGGTCAGCGGATAGACCGAAGCGATGAAGGAAGATGGGAACTTTTTTTTTTGGCATCTAATCCAGTTTCTGTCAAGTTGATTGTGACTCACAGTGACCCACTGTGCCTTAGAGAACTAGGCTGCCTGAGGCTCTCTTTCCATTAAAAACAACAACTTTTTTTTATTGTGAATTGAGTGAAGGCTTACAGAGCAGATCCGTTTCCCACTCAACAATTCATATACATGTTGTTTCATCTCATTCATTGCCACCCCCCAAAGTCACATCCTTATCCCACTTCCTGCCTGTGTGTCCTCTTTCCATCCCTCCTTCTTTCCTCACCCCTTGGGAATTTCATCCTTAAAGAGATATGTGCCCTTTGATCTCCAAGGGTCCCTATTGTAGGGTGCCGGTACCTCCCTAGTGTGGCTGTTCCCTTAATAGACCTGTCTGTCGTTGGGCTGCCTATTGAGCTGTGAGGATGAGTTCATGTCCAAGCCTGAGAGGTGATGCAAAGGGCCATCGTCTTGGGGCTTCCACCAGTCTCTAGCTCACCAGTCAGCCTGGTCTTTTTACAAGTGATTTTGAGTTTTCTGTTCCACAGCATTTCTCCTGCCGAATCCAATTTCTCAAAGCATATTTTCCATGGCTGGTTTTCTGGAAGTGGATCTCCACCCCTTTCCTTCGTGGCACCTGTGGGTGAACTCAACCACCATCATTTCAGTGAGCAGCCAAGTGTGACAACTCCTTCCTCTCCCCAGGGGCTCCTTTGAGCCTCTGTTAGGTGCTAGCAGAGCCACTGGTGGTTCCTTGGTAGAAGCCTCAACTTCCTGCAGGAAACCCGGGGTCGATTTCTGGTCACGGCCCATCTCTCAGCAGGGGTGGCTCGCATGTGGCTATGATAGTGAAGAGCTTCCAGACAGAGATGAACTTGGAAGAAAGACCGGCCGATCCACTCCCCGACACAAAGCACTCTTCTGCAAGGGGTCCTGGAGATGGGGTAGGACTGTGTGGCATCTGGCTCTGTCGTCACCATGTGTTGGGGCCTGAACCGATGGCGCTGAGAACAGCCACCCTGTGCTATGCACGTGTCAGTCAGTTCGTTGCACCCAGTCCTCATACGAACCCTAAGAGCCTGACCACGAGCTGCTCTTCCAGAAGAGACCATGGAGAACGGGGTTCACAACGGGAACCGGGCCCCAGTGCCGATACACACAGAGCAGAACTCATCTGAAGTTGCCCTGCCTCCCAACTGGGTGCTCTTTCTGTGACCTGGAGCTGCTGCTCTGAAGCACACCCTACCCAGTGCCAGGCACCATGCCAGGTGCTCCAGGACCCCTCTGCACACAAGCAAGATGTTTTACCAGGCTGCCACAATTCTGTTTTCTCGGGTCTTTGTTATCTAGCCCTTCCAGCTTCTGCAAAAGTGAGGAGCAGACAGCGTTTCTTCTCATCCAAGCATCCTTTTGAACAGCGTGACCCCTGTCTGAAGCCAGGTGCTTCCAGCCCTGAGAAGACTCTGCTGACACTGGGGCTGCCGCCGGCACGCATCTGTCACAGCCAAGATAAAATGACCTTTATCAGCCAAGATAAAATGACCTTGCGATCTGGGTTGGCCACAGCTGACAGGGCAGGCCCCTGGAGCGGACAGTCAGTGGACAGGCCTGGGAAGCCGCTGTCTCCCAAACGTTTGGCGGTCACTGCCATCAGACATAACTCAACCTGCCCCAAGAGGACAGGTCTTCAAACGCCGTCGCCAGCAGGCTTCTTGAAGCATTCACTGTTTCCCCATTCCTCATAGATCCTTTTTGAAATTTTAAAATTGAGCTTGCATAGACTGATATTTGGGCTTTTGATAATGGTAATTAAGTGGGAGTGCCCTGAGCTTGGAGGGAGAAGTAGGCTAGCACCAAATAAATGGACAAAGAGTCCCCTCCCAGGGAAGGGGGTGCAGGGCCCTTCCCTCCTTCCCCAGCCCCCTGTGATAATCCCTACCTATGGGGTCACTGTTGCTGAGAGTGATTTGGTGGGAGCAGGGCTGTGGGTGATTGCTACCATTGAGTCCCCAGTGAGTACTACCCTTGCAAATCCATGTCCTGGGTGGCCCCCATTGGGCCTGGGCTGGCCTGCAGCATCAGGGTGCATCAATGCGTGGCCCAGGCAGTCCCGTGTCTCCCAGGCCTCCCACCAAGGCCTCAGCACGTAAGCGAATCACCTGGGACTTTCCCAATGAACGCAAGAGGCGCCCAGCTGACACCCGGCGGCTGGCTCTGTCAGCCCACACTGCACAATCTTGAGCCGATGCGGGGCTGCTGCTTCCAGTTGCTGAGTTCAGGGCTAGTTGGCTATTTGACAAAGGCCAATAACATTGGGGTCATCGCTCTGGGGTGGTTCTGGCGCTGGAAAAGATTGTTGACTCTGGGGGCACAGGAAATAAAGCCAGACCCAGAAACACCCTCTCAGAAGGGTGGCAGTGAGAGATGAAAAGGTTTTGCTGCTTATCAATGCTCTTTGCCCCTTTGTACCTCTGCGCTCTGGGCGCAGTGAAAAAGAATAAAGGTTTCCAGTGGACCAGCTAGTGAAACGTGCTATCTCCACCCAGCTGCTTCCCAAACATCTGCTGCTGAGGAAAAGGAATTTCCCCAGCCCCGATCACACCAACGCTATCCACAAAAACACAAGTCCTGAAATACTCAGCAGAGAGCTGAACTTGACCGGCTTTTCACACTCTGTCACCCTTCCTCACTGGCAAAGTTTGAAAGGAACTAGCTCAAGAGCACTTCTGTATTTGCTAGAAAACTCTCCAAGACACTGCCCTAGATTATATTTTCTTTCCCCAAACAAATGCCTGTCCGAACTTACCTACCACAGATACAGAGTGGCTCTTCTTCCTGAAACCTAAACACTAGCGCGTAACTAGGATGTTTGCTTCTTGGCCAAGGCTGCCAGGAATCCCAGAGGCAAACATAAAGACGAATGGAAAGAGGGGCAGATGGATTTTTGCTTCTCTGCTTCTGCCGCAGCTTTGTGGTTCCACTGTTGCTTTAGAGACGCACTGTCCTTCCTCCTGCTCCTTGACCGCTCACGAGTCCCGAGAGGGCAGTGGTGCAGCAGACAGCTAGTTGACAATGGAAAGCTTTGTGGTTGGAATCCACCAGCCAGTTTCAGGGCAGAAAGGCCTGGCAATCGGCCCCCGTAAAGGTGACAAGCCCGGAAACCCTGTGGGACACGTTGACTCTGAGATGGAATCGACTCGAGGGTGCCTAATAATGTAAACAACAATTTCAGTGACTTTAAAAGTATTTACAAATATGGGCAGCTGATTTTTGACCAGGGGTCAAAGTGCATGCAACGGGAAAGGAACCATCTCTTTAATAAACGGTGCTGCGAAACTGGATACTCATATGCAGAAAAATGAAAGTATCCGTAGGTCACACCATACTCAAAGACTAACTCAAGCTGGTCCGAAGACCTCAATGTTCAAGCTACAGTGATAATGCTCCTGGAAGATAATGAAGGGTCAAAATGATGGCACTTAATGTTTTTCAGAATCAGGGTACCAAACACAACTACAAATGCATGAGCAGCAGAAGACAGATTAGACAACTGGGATGTTCTGATACCTAAATATGTATGCTCATCAAAAGACTTTTAT